TATAAAACCTCCCCAGATTCTAGCTAACACTAACCCCTTTCTATACTCTAACTACTTGACAAACTTGCTATATAATCTCTTTTCTCTCATATATTATTTAGTGTTTTTTCATTAAAATAGATCCTTATTTGATTTTTTTCCACTTAAAAGCCTAAACTATTTTTCCCCCTGAACTTCTAACTAAGTKTTCCCTTTCAATTTTCCTTCCAACCATCAGGCTTCTTAAACAACTAGTTTACACTCACCGTTCCCTCTTCCTCATTTCCCATTTACTCTTCAACCAGCTGTCATCTAACTTTCATTTCTAAAAACTGCTTACACCAAGCTCACCAAAAGACTACAATGCCAAACCTAATGAGTCTGTAGGAAATACCTGTTGTTTGGCTCTTCTGGTAATAATGCCCTATTTTTCTTTTGGAGAGCTATCTGCTCCATCTCTGAGTTCTGATGGAACTTCATATTGGCTCACCTCTGGGGTGGGAACATAGCTGACCAATAACACTTTTACACAAAAAAGAAAGCTGGCTGGGTCTAAGTTAATCCCACAGACTAACGTGATCCCAAAAACTTCTGTTCTCAGCCTTTCCTGAGGCTTCAGTATTCTGCCTTCTTTCATTTCATTGGGTTTACCCAGTATGTACCCATAAGTCTCCATTTTCAGCTTAAGTTAGCCAAATCAATGTCTATTGTTCACAACCAAAAAGAATTGGTCCTCAAAGTGGTACAGAGGTAGAAGTGGTTATCTCTCACAGTTACATCACAATTTTCCCCGCTCTGGCCCTTCTCTTAGCTAATATGAGAATGCTTTCACCAGAAAATCCAAAGATGGCTTCATTAATAGGGAAGTAAGGCTATCTGGGTCTCCTTGTGCAGCCAGCCAATAGATAAAAGGGAAATTATAAAGAGCACATACAGAAACTGGAGGAATCTTAGGGTAACTCTTTGTACTAAGACTAGCAGTGAAGTTACCAGAAGATGACAGTTTTTCAAMAAGGCAAAATCTGCAAGGGCTCAGACCCCTCAGAAACAAAAGTTTGTAAACCATATCTGTATGACTCCAAAGTCTAAGCCTTTAACACTCCACTTTCTAGTGATATCAATCTACCTGCAGGTACTTAATCAAGGAATGTCTTTCTCATTTCCATGCTTTTGTACTGTTCCTTTGAATTGAATGCCCCTATCGATTTTCTAATGGGAACTTCTCCTGTCCTCTTTTGAATCTTTCTCTGATCCCTAGAAGTTGGATTAGATACCCTTCCCCATAGTTCCAAACATCATGACATAAAGTTTTAATATGAAATATACTCTATATGCTAATTAGTTTTCCCCATTAGACTATAAGCTTCTAAGTGGTAGAAATCACATATATTATATTTGTGTTCTCAACATTTAGTACTCAGTACTAAGTGTAATCAATGTCCTTTGAAAGAATATCTAGTCTTTGCTAATTTTTCAGTATAATTATTACATCATAAATCTTGTGTACATAGGTTTAATTTAGCATCTTATGTAGTATTCCCCAATTCTCCCAATAAGTCCAAAAATATCTTATGAGTCAAGTTTACTACTTTATGTCTTCTGTATTCTCTTTAGCACCTAATAGTGTTGGGCACATGGTAAGTATTCAATAAATACTTGATGAACTGAATTAAAAACGCAGTATTAGCACATTAATAGGAGTAACTTATCATGTCCTACTGATCTAATTAAAAGATCTGGCCTTCTGAAGTACTGCAATTGTACCCACATGGCAAATTTAATGAGAAAAAGAAAAATTATCCAATTGGACAGTTAACAGCTTTTCTCTTAGCAAGAATTCCGCAAATATTTTATGGATAACAAGCTCAGAGCAAAAGATTCAAGGTGCATATGCCTGTGCATACTGGATAGAAGATTATATATTTAAGGGATCTGTCACAACTGTAATTACTTAGACAATTACTTAGACTCTACTAATTCTTAGTAAATCCATAGTAGAAGTACAGAACATCATATTTAATAGCAAAGTTAATGCCAAATCAACCTATGCTAAATATATAAAAAGTTATGTTTGAATAATATATAACCTGGAAGTCATTTACTCATTTAACACACATTTATTAAGTGCCTGCTAATGACAAATGCAACTTTAGGTCCTGAAAATACAAAGGTAATGAACACAGACCTATGTTTGTTGGGTTCTAGCTCTTCCACACTGCACTGTATTTAAGAATATAATGTAAACCATATCCACTAATGCGGAAGAAAGCGGGGGGGCGGGGGGGAATAGTAAAAATCTGGTGGGAAAAGTAGATAAACACATACTTATGACAATGTGATAAGTGCTAATGGAGAAATACATGCAAGTTGTTAAGGGGCAATAGAAAATAACCTACTGAAGAAATTAGTAAAATATAAGAAAATAACTGACATCTACATATAAATTCAATATTAGTAAGGTATGCAGAGAGAAACATTGGGGACTTAATCAAGTTAAGTTGGAGCCTAATGAACCATGTATACATAAGAAGTTAAACGATATCATGCTTGAGCACTAAGGGAATCTTTTAAATGATATGTATTATGAAAATTTAAAGAGAGCAAATCACTAAGAACTAGACTAAGCTGTCTGGAAAAACCTTCATAAAAGTATAATCAAAACTATTGTTGGTGAGGAGATACAGAGAAAAGGACCAATATCCTTATAATGCCAATGTTGTTAACAAAAGCAGGAATCTCAATTGTGTGTGTGTGTGTGTGTGTGTGTGTACACACTGAGGTTGTTCCAAAGGTTCACAATGGAACACAGTAGGGGCACACAATGAAGACCTGCATTAGAAAAACTATAATATTTGCCTAGCAATTTGTATACTATTCTAGAAGTATGGGAATTTTCAGCCCTAGTACCGCTGAACAGAATCACTGGAGATTTTTAAAAGATGTGCCCAAGGTCAAAAGTAACCTTCACTCCAGGTCAAAAGTAACTTCTAAGCTGGGTATAGTGGTACATGCCTACAATCCCAGCAACTCAGAGGCTAAGGAAGGAGGATCATGAGTTCAAAAACCAGCTTCAGCAACAGTGAGGCACTAAGCAATTCAGTGAGACCCTGCCTCTAAATAATATACAAAATAAGTGTTGGGGATGTGGCTCAATGGTTGAGTGACCCCAAGTTCAATCCCCAGTACCCACCGCCCCCCCCCAAAAAAAGGGCTGGGGATTTGGCCTAGTGGTTATGTGCTCCTGGGTTCAATCATTGGTGGTTAAAAAAAAAAAAGAAAGAAAGAGAGAAAAAGAAAAAAGAAAGAAAGAAAGAAAAGAAAAAAAGAGTAACTTCTGGGGGGAAATGTCATGAGTCTTAAATTTTAAAGTCACACAAGGTGATGTGCAGTATAGTTTCAAAACCACTGGAATAAACAACAGAAAGATAACATATGTGAGATATGGTTAAGACTCAAGCTTGACTTAAGACTGTTTTTAAGCGACAGTGTTGGGCTGATTACCTGTTGAAAGTTATCTTCTAACCTAAGTTAAACAGTCTGTTTTCTTCATGTTTCTTTCCCCCTGTTGACAGGCAAAGCTATGAATACAGAAAAAGCATCCACCAATTTCTCATAGACAGCTGGTTCACTGGCTGTATGGTCTGCAACTTTAGAAATTCACTTCTGTGATTTCAATTCTAAGCTGCCTTTGCATCCCTGCAGTGCAGTGCTTTCATATTTGGGAATGTTCTAGGCTGCACCCATGTGCAAATTTTATAAAACTTCTCAAATACAAAAAGAATCTAATACCAAAGGATACAAAAGTCATACTGCTTAGATTACAGCAAAATGTGAGATAAAGTATTCATTCTTGCAGTGCTTGGAAACATTATATCACTCCTGGTTTCAGAAGTCCAATGATTACAATGTACTTTACTTATTCTGTAACAAATACTTTCAGAGCACTTCAAATAAAAGGAAACACATGTATCCTACATAGCAACTCAGACATTTAAACTAGAGTCCTACAAGGGAAGGAAAAAGTCAAGACGATAAAGAGTGTGACAGCCTGTTGATCTTTCAAAAAGCAAGTCTTTTTGCTTAAAGCAAACGTGGGGAAATGCTCCARGGTCCCTATTCCTCACCATAATTTTCACTCAAGAAATCCGTACATTGTTTATAAGTAAGCAACTATATTCTTTACCTGAAAAGTTGGTCAAAACTGTCTTGCTTTGTGCGGTGTTAGTACACTGTATCTGCTTGGCAGAAATGTTATCTGCACATCAGTTAGGATTTGGTATGTGGGCTTATTATTCGTTTATTTCCAGATAAAGTAAATGAWTACAAAAACCCATAACACAGCGTAAAAGAGTGGGTTGAGTTGGAAGAGTGAGTAGGAGAGGACYCAACAATCAAACTGGTGAACCTAAACAAGGGCCCAGAAACCTCGTGTTTCTTAGAGAAATAAAGAAATAGATTGAAGAGTTGATCATCTGCTTATACCCCTCCTATTCGGAAAGCAAAAGATAGATAGGCTTCTAAAAAGAAAATGCAAGCCTTAACTCTTCGACATAGGGGTGAGAGTTAAAAAGCAAGCCATACGACTTTGACGAGGGGGTCCAAAGGAAAGTCTGAGGGCAAGGAAAGAAGGGGAGATGAAGGAGGCAAGAAAAGGTGACTGAGGCAGGCAAAGGCCATCCTGTGTGAACMGGGCTGCCAGGCTCTTTATGCACCCAGGACCACATGGGGCCTCTCTCGACCGGCGCGCGTCTGTGGGCCGGGGCGCAGCAACCAGCTTGGCACCGCGAGCGCCAGGAAGACTGGCTGAAGAGGGGTGCGCGCACCTCCAGCGCTCGCACGGGGCCCGGCTCTGCACACAGGGGTCCCCAGGAACAAGGCACACTTTGCTCAGCTCTCGCCTCTGGGAGCATAGAAGGGGGTGGGTGGAGCTGAGCCCGGAGCCGCCCCCCGGAGCCGCCCCCGCAGCCCCGGCCCCCGCGCCCCGCCCCGGCTGTCAGCGGCCCCCTCCCGCAGTCACTTACCCGCGGGCTGCGTGGTCTCAGCCGCAGTAGTGGCGGCAGCAGCGGCGACCCCCGCCTGGGTCATGATCCCAGGCGGGGAAAGCAGGGGTGTCTGACCGCTCTAGCGAATCTCTGTGTCCGCGGCCGCCGCCTGCTCCTTCGGGGCTGGGGGAGCGCGGGCCCAGGCCCTCCTCTCCCCCCGCCCCCGCCGCCTCTTCTTGCGGCCACCGCCGCCGCTGCGAGCCCGAGCCCTCAAGGCCGGAGACCCGGCGGCAGAGCAGCCTCAACTTTCCCAGCCCCCCTCCCCCCGCCCCTCCCCGCCCCTCCCGAGGCCGCCGCTCAGCACTAGAACAGCCTACCCTGGGTGCACTTCGGTCCCGCCCCTGTAACGGAACTCGCCAATCCGGAGCCGGGAAGGTTACTGTGGTGGCCAATCAGAAGCAGGAACGCCGTTGCGCTGGGCTAGAGGCTGGCAGRAGGTGGAGGAAAAACCGAGGAGCAAACGGGCCTCGGGCTGCCCAATGAGGAGAGCCGGGGGGCGGAGGTGTGCAAGTTGGGTTGAAGGAACAGGAAATATTCTTAAAGGTRGAGTGATGGGCAAGAAGGAAAGCCAGTACGTGATTGGGAAAGAGGTGGGCCTGGTTCCTTAAAGGGGACGCCTTGAGAACCCAGAAAAGAAGATGTTTTAAGAAACTTCTTTGTGACCTGGTCTCTGTTCTGCTTTTCACGTCTTTCAATGGGAGTTTGGAAGTGGAGAAAATGAAGAGGAAGAGGGCACGGAAAGCTTTCGAAATGATTAGAGAGCTCCTCGTAAAATAGAAGGCAAGAAAGGAAAGAGGATGTCTCCATAAGAAGGTGGGGGAAAAAATAAGACAATTCAGAGGTCTCTGATTTCCCTTTCACTGCAAGATCCTTGCCGACCTAACACTACTTGAATTCGTAGGCTGTGATTTCCTGCTGTTTTGTATCTGAAACATCGTAAGATTCCTGTGAACTAGAGATGGTTATGTTCAGAAATGCCCTGTGGATCTCCCAGCGGAGGCAAGAGAGTGTTGGCATTGAGTGATGAAGTTTGGAAACCCAAGCTTAGGTTACTAGACTTGTTTCTGGAAGTGTAGGGCCGCCCATATGGAATGGAGACGTGAGGGTCTCCTAACAACACGGTGGATTTGGAACCCTAGAACCGTGGTCACAACTCCCTCTTCCTAGTTTTGCTTCATATTTCATAAACCCTCTCGTCCTGAAACAGGTGTCCACCACCTCGTGGCGTTGAAATATTTCTGGGCTCTTCCACAACTAGATTTCTGAAACGTCTCTGATCTTAGATGTCCCTGAGCTGGACCAGTTAACTTCCAGAACGTACACACAGCGCATGGCTTAATGGGAATTTCTATAGAGTCCTCTCTACATAGGAAGGAGAACTTGCATTGAGAAAAAGGGTAAACAGTTCCCCATCTTATGTTTGTAAAACAGTTTGAAAAGCTGTGATGAAACAGGCCATTAAGGTTGCCAGAAAACTATGGCACCAATAGAGTCTGGAAATTTTTGTAGCCTTTGAATGGATTTGGTACTCCCAGATTCAAACTGCCAATCAGAAAGACCTTATGATTCAGAGCTATAATAGTAATGTTAATAACACCACCATGAAATTGTGTAATGTTAATGTGTCTAAAGTAAACCACACAAGTAGTCTTAATTTTGAAAGCAAGATTTAAGAGTTTTGTGGGATTTTTGTCGTTGTTGTTTGAAACACCACTAAAAAATACATATTAATTACCATTCTGATGGGATTTAGAAGTGAAGCTAACAGTAGCTTCTGTTTGATAAAGTTCAGAATATTTGCTTTTTAATTTAATCTTCATTTCCTAACTGAAGTCCAGCTTCCAACAAGAGATCTTTTTATTAGCTTTAGCCATTCATCATCCCATTTTCAGGCTAGCTGGCATGAGCTTATAGTAGTACCTATACTGATAAGAAAATATAGTAGTCAAGTGAAACTGTTTTGTCTCCAGGTCAAGTTCATTTTTCACAAGGACAGAATGAATCTGATTTTCACCTACATGCTTGAGACCCTTCCAAGGCGCTGAAAGATTATTTGCATGATTTACACGGTAGCGCTTGCATCCCCAGCTTCATTTCATGACATTTCTTTTTACCTAGGAGATGAACTGTGGGAGGGGACCACTGATAGCCTGGACAGGGACAGCACCATTCTCAGCTCCACTTATCCACTCCTTGCTCCTAGAGGTTAGAGCTGAGTAAAATGTGCCTCCTTCCTAAAGACCCCTATGTGCAGAGCCCGGCCCAATGAGAGTGTTGGAGGTGCACGTAGCCCCTCTTCTGCCAGTCCTCCTCGAAGCGCTAGCGGTGCCAGGTTGGTTGGGAGCTTGCCCTGCGCCCTGGCCTGGCAGCCAGGTTCACACCAGATGGCCTTTGCCTGCCTCTTTCACTTTTTCTTGCCTCCTTCATCTTCCCTTCTTCACTTGCCCTCACACTCTTCCTTGGACCCCCTCGTCAACGCTGTGTGGCTTGCTTTTAACTCTCCTGTGTCAGAGAATGAATTGGATTGGGTTTTCTTTTTTAGAAGCCCAACTTCTGCTTTCCAAAAAAGCGGGGAAATTCTTAAATCCACTTCCCTGTTTTCCGAAGGAACCGCCAAACTTTCCCAAAGTGCTCCTGTTACTTATTTCACATGCTCAACAGCAATATATGAAGGTTTGATAGTCTACATCATCATCAACATTTGATACTGTCAGTCTTTTTTAATGCCAGCCATTATAGTGTATGAAGTGATATCTCATTGTGATTTCAGTTTTTCATATCTCTAGTAACCATTAGCCCATTTTAAACCAGGGATGCTTGTTTCATAATTGACTTCAAATGTCTTTATGTGTTCTGGATACAGTCCTTTCTCAGATATTTTATACAAATATTTTCATCCAGGTTGTGGAATGCCCTTGAAAACAAAACCAAAATAGCTTTATTAAGATATGATGGACCCACCATTAACAGAGCATATTTAAAATGCACAATTTAAAGTGATGAATTTTGACACACACCTGTGAAAACATCTCTACAATAAAAAATGAACATATCCACTCCTTCTACCCCCATTTCCTCATGTAAAATTAATTCCTTTCTCTTCTTTTCATTAGGCAGTGTTGCCAGTTCCCCAGCAAACACTAATCTGCTGTCACAATAAATTATTTTTGTTTTCTAGAATTTTAAACAAATGAAGTCATGCAGTAACACCATCTTCTTTCATTCAGCATAACTTCTGAGAGATTCATTCAGGCTTGTGTTCGATCCCCAGCACCCCCCCCCAAAAAAATAGAAAAGAAATCATTCATTTTATTGTATGCATCAATAACGTATTAGCTTTACATGCTGAAGCCTTTCATTGTGTGGATGTATTAAATAAATGTTGATGTATCTCTCCACTGTTGGTGGACAGTGGGATTGTTTCCAGTGTTTAACTATTACAAATAAAGGTGCCATGAGCATCTTGATAAAATCTTGGCATACACATTTGCATTCATTTACTTTGTGTAGCATTTGGGTAACTGTCCAGTGAAATAGTTGGAATTATATGGTAGGTGTGTTTACCTTTTTAAAAAACTGCTGCTCAAAGTTTGACCATTTTATATTACCACCAGAAGTGTATGAAAATTTGAATTGTTCTATATCCTTGCGAACACTTGATATGACCAATTTTTAAAATTTTAGCAAGTTGAATAGGCACATAATGGTATTTCATTGTGATTTTAAGCAACTTTCTCTATTGAACAATGATGCTGCATCTTTTCATGTACTTAGTAACCATTTCTACATCTTTGGTGAAGTGTTCAAAATTTACCCTTTTCACTGGGTCTAAGTTTTATTTTTTTTAAGCTTTATGTTTTTATTTAGATACATGGTGCATTTTATGGATTTTTGTTTGGTTGTTTTTTGAGATTGGATTTTACTGTGTTATCCAGGCTGATCTCAAACTCATGGGCTAAGCATTCCTCTGCCTCAACCTTCCAAGTAGTTAGGATTACAGGCATGTGCCACTGCACCTTGCAAAGGTACATTTAAAATGAGTTTTTGTATATTGTGGAGGTATGGATTAAAGTTCATATTTTGGTATTGGGAACTCCAATTTTTCAGCACTRATTATTGTATAGACTATACTTAGCCACTAAAATTTGTAACTGTACTTTGAAAATAAATCAAGTGACCACATGTTGTTTTGTTTGGGTATACTGGGGATTAAACCCAGAGGTGCTCTTCTGAGCTGTATCCCCAACCCCTTTTTATTTTTTGAGACAGGGTCTTGGTAAGTTGCTGAGGCTGGCCTCAAACTTGTGATCCTCCTACCTCAGCCTCCCTAGTACCTGGTTACCACATTCAGCACCAAATTGTCTTTATGTGGTTTTATGTTTTGAAGTCAAGTAGTATAAAGCCTGCAATTTTCTTCTTTTAAAATTGTATTAACTATTTTAAAGCCTTTGCATCCCCATATAGACTTATGCTTATAAAACTTTAAAAAAAAATGAAATTTTGACCAGGATCTATAAGTCAATTTGGGGAGAATTGACAATTCAGTAATTGTCTTTAGTTCAATGAACATGTTATTTCTCTCCATTTAAGTGTTTTCTTTTCTCTTTTTTCAGGTTGTGGGGACCACATTCAGGGCCTCTGGCATGCTAGGCAACTGAGCCATATTCCCAGTGCTCTAATACTCTTAATAGCTTTTTCTTTTCTTTTCTTTAGGGATATATTGAATCCCAGTGACTTGGGAGGCTGAGACAGGAGGATCACAAGTTCAAGGCTGGCCTCAGCAACTTAATGAGGCTCTAAGCCTGAAACCTGTTCTCAAAATAAAAAATGAAAAATGGCTGGAGACATAGTTCAATGGTGAAATGCCACCGGAACCAATCCCTAGTTTAAAAAACAAAACCTAGCATTTTTTAACTTCATTATGTCTTCTACAAGTAAAAAATATTTTACTTTCTTCATTGATGCCTATATATATATATTTTTTTCTTATTGGACTGGGTAGGGCATCCAGGGACAAAATTGTGTCAGAAATGAAAGAGCACCTATTCTTGTTTTCCTCCCAATTTTAGGAGTAAAATAGTCGTCACCAGTATGATGGTAGCTCATAGGCTTTTATAGATAATCCGTTCATTTCTAAATTGTTCAAAATTTGTCATGAATGGGTGTTGAATTTTGCCAAATAATTTTTCCCRTATCCAGATAATCATTTTTTCCTTTCAGGAAAAATTAAT